TTCAGTGTATTTCTAACATGCTTGTTTCGAAGTCTAGAAATTACTACTAGTACCTTAAGTCACAAATAAATATATTTTGAACATATATCGATACAGTCACCTAGACATTAATTGATGGTCAATTACTAGTATAGACCCTATGAAACACATATCAAGGTTATACTCTTTCCGTATCAAAAACAAGTGCAATTTTACACTGTTCATATATAACGTTTGACCATTCGTCTTATTTGAATTTTTTATGATTATTATTATTATTATTATTATTAGGTGACAAAACATAAATAGTACTTTATGTGTGACTATTTTTTTTATTTTTTTCATAAATTTTTCAAATAAGACAAACGGTCAAATATTGGACACGGATAACCACGACTGCACTAATTTTGAGTCGGAGGTAGTACTATTTTTGTAACTTCTTTGAAAACAAATATAGTCACATCACTCTCAAAAGTTGAACTAAATAAAGGGATTTTGATTGTAAAAATTTAAACGTATTGATTGCGCACATTACAGAACATAAGTGTTACGAGGAAGTAACATATTACTTCCTCATTCTAAAAGTCTAATACCTACTATTTCATTCTTTGGTTTTTCTAAAAGCCTAAGTTCTATTTGTAGTCATTATGTGCTAAATTAAATTGTTGATAGAATCCAAGAAGCCATTTTAATACTTATTGGTTGCATATTTATTGGTTTTGTCATATGGTGAATGAATTAATTGCTTCTTGGTCTTGGTGAAAAAAGAAATAGGAATCAGATTTTTGGGAAGGAAAAAAATCATCGTGTGATAATGGTGGGTCTAGATTACAATGTTTTAGATTACTGATATATCACCATGTGTAAAGTACAAATGTATTTATGAAAACCAAAACATGAGCTGTAAACCAAATCCCATTAAATTTTCTTTTGGAGGAAATCCAATTATAAGTCTAGCTCCGTAAAGTTGTGAAAAATCCAAGCTAAAAGTCAAGGGAAATTGTGTTATTGCTCTTATTACTTTGAATTATAATCATGATTTTACCCTTGTTTTTAGGATCTGTGATGTTGCTTCAATTTTTAGCTGAAATTCCAGCTTGCCCCTGTCTATTAAATCGTATTGATAGTGTTTTTTTTAAAACCGAAGCCGACAAAGCTGGTGTTATACTAAGTAGGGGAGGAAAAAGTATTTACAAGATCACCAAAATGGTGAAAGAGAGAGAGGGGGGAGAGAAGAAGCTACTAAAACAATGAAAAAAAACATCCTAGGTGGATAATCTTGCGATATTTGTTGCTCCACATATCTTTCATAGCTTGATTTCGTTATGTATCTTGTCTAGTAGCTGCGGCAGGTATTTTTCCTGATTTCGAAATACTTGTCTGTTCCTATTAACCATATTTTCCATATTTCCCATGCTACCAGCATGTGAACTGTTTTTTTTTTGATTTGGCTGTCTTTTCCACATTTTATATCTATACTTTTGTGATGAAAAGACATGTATACGCTTGTATATTGTTACAAATTTGCCCATATTATCTTTATACAATAGTTGTGGTTTTAACCATAATTTTATATAACGGTTGTGTTTCTACCCATACTTTTGTATCCAAAGCTTAAATAAGTGCTTATGCTAAAAATAGGAGCAAAATAAAAAAACACTAAAAAAAGGAGTAAAATCAGAATCGCACTTGACAATAAGGACAAGAACACAGTTATCCTTTGAAGTTACCGACTTAAGATTTGAATGGTAAAGCTGTGACATCAAAGTGTTAATTAGGAACAAATGGAACAGAGAAAAGAAAATAGATGCGCCGTTACATATGACTATATCAGCAACCATATTATCGTCATTACGCGGACCAAGTACTGTTGAATCCAAAGACCAAATTTAGCAAGATTGATAATCTGCTACTACGCTTATAATACGCGTAAGGTAAAGAGTCCCAGTCGAGGATCCTACAATAGAACTAAACTACACAGAGTGAACAAAAATTCGTCAAACGGCAGGCGATCGAGCACGTGTATTCACACTGGACCTTTGTGTTGGCCTCACTTCAAGTCATCTAGCTATCTAGGCACATAAGCAACTACGCAAGTTGGTACGCCTCACTAACATTTTGTTACTAATTCTTAACGATGCGAAATCTATGCGTTTTGACATTTTGACTACACGTCGACACGAGAAGAAGAATTCGTCTTTAACAAAATAAAAAAAATTAAAGCGTTGGAACATATATTTATATACACATGTAGGAACCGCACATATGCATAGATGTTCACATGTGTCCGATGTGTTAACGTCAGTTCGATCGTCATCTGATCGTCATTTGTCACCATGTAGTTTAGGTCCATCCGTGACGACAGTTACAACGACGCTGTTCCTGGTTTTCTCTGCTACCAAAAGTGAGCAAAAAAGCTAGTAGAAAAACTTTGTTTTAGTCTATTAACTCCAACACTAATCAAGCCAACGCCGAATCTACTTAACTTTCCGGCATTTTGGATCTTGGAGCGAGTATTGTGACCCTTGACTTGAGAAAAAAAACAGAGGCTTGAGGCGACGAAATGGGAGTCGCTTTTACCTCCCGGCCGTTCCATTTCCAAAAGTTTCTCTGGACTCAGCAAGTGAAGAAATTTGGCTTCATGATTTTAGTCTGCATGGCTTTATCGCAGAGTTGATTTTTCTGTGACCTTTAGGCTGTTAATCCACAGTACTCGCACTGCAAGTTGCAAGTGTTAAAAGTGAAGATGAGACGGTAAAAAAAGTTGCAAAGCTATATACGGCGTGGCTCGAAAGGAATTAACAGTTTAACACCGAGCCATTAATCAATCTAGCAAGCATCCATTGACGAAGGCTACCAAGTGAGTGGTCATGTGGAAAGTGGGCAGAAATTTGGGACTTTATTGAATTAGAAACTTTACCACGATTTAATAAGAGTAAAATAAAAAAAAGAGATTAAAAAAAGAATTACATTAAATATAGAATATAGATAAATAAACATACACATCTAGATATATTCTAGATCTTCTTTCTTGACTATATATTTTAGTATTTTAATAAATTCAATATTAAAAACCCTAACCTTTCCTATCAATGTGTATCTATCCGTAATATTTTAGAATATTTTCGAATTAGAGAAATTTGCACACTTTCTCATTTGATTCGTGAGGAGCTGGATGAGAAGAAACTCTCATGTCCAGTTTTGCAGTAGAGATGGAACTAAGAGAGAATCATCGACTATAACCCTAAAAGGACCAGATTTCGTAAATAACATAGAGGAATAATGAAGGGAAAATCCTACCGAGGCAATTGTATTTGTTTTGATAGATATGCTCTTCAAGCACTTAACCCACTTGGATTACGGCGAGGCAGATAGAAGCAGGACGAAGAGCAATGACACGATATGCACGTCATGGTGGAAAAATCTGGGCTCGTATATTTCCCGACAAACCGGTTACAATAAGACCGACGGAAACACGTATGGGTTCGGGAAAGGGATCCACCGAATATTGGGTAGCCGTTGTTAAACCAGGTCGAATACTTTATGAAATGGGCGGAGTATCCGAAACTGTAGCTAGAGCAGCTATTTCCATAGCTGCCAGCAAAATGCCCATACGAAGTCAATTTCTTCGGTTAGAAATATAACCCCCCAAAAAAGTAGTATTGAAAATAAAAAACCAGGTTCTTCTTTCTGGAAAGACAATATTTCTTTCATCTTTTTGCATTGAAATAGCAAATTGAAATCAAAATAATATAATTTAACCTCAGACCCTTTTAAATGTAGCAGATAATAGTGGAGCTCGAAAATTAATGTGTATTCAAGTCATAGGAGCTGCTAGTAATCAGCGATATGCTCGTATTGGTGATGTAATTGGGCTCTTCGATCGTGTAGTACTGTAGTCCTATTCCGGGTCACCAGCAGTCTACCGAGGGCAAGAACAACTTTACATTTTGTGGAGCTCACCAAGGTAGAAAAGCTATCGATATCAAACGCTTCGATTAACTATGGGGCGTTCACTTGATGGGTGAAACCGTTTCGGCCAAATACATCCTTGACTCAGAAGCGGGATTGATTTCATTATCAAAAAAATAAGTCAAACCGTCATTTGGACTGAAAAAAAGGGGGAGATTTTCGTGAAGAGTTGAAACAAGATGCTCATTTTTGGCCCGGAGAGGAGAGGGCCGAATGGCCTTGAGCTGGTTGCTCGCCAAGGGAGCATTCCAGCTCAGGCCGGCCCATCCAAATATTGCAAATCTCCTCAAGTCATAATGGGCTTATTACTTGTCTTGGTGACTTTCTAGTTGTACTACTAGTAATACGTCTATTTTACGCCCCTAAACTCTTGCTCTTGATTGAATCGCCCCCCTCGTCTACAAAACCGAGTGTAACACTGTGCCACCGCTGGTGAGGCATGTAACATCGATTACTTGTGCTCTCCTCAGTGGAATTTGTGCTACCGGTCTTGGGAGAGAGATGAAAAAAAGAGGAGAGAGAAGAGAGGAGTCGCTGACATGTAGGTCCTGCCCTGTTGACTTAGTAGGTCAACTGTGGTCAATCTACCACGTCAGTGAAATCCGCTTTCCAAAATACTAAACGAGACGATTTTTACCGGCTTTTAAAAATAGGGATACGTTATACCCGGTTTTATACGGTTAAGGAAGACGCTTCACTCATAAGAGAAAGATAAAATAGACTTATGCCGTACTATTGTGTCTACGGCCCAGGAGACTACTCCGTCGAAGTCGTAATGGGCCAATACTTGGTGGCCTTCTAATCTTCTCTCTCTCTCTTGGGCCTGATCTACGGGCCAGCGTCCACGTACGCGTCGGCCTGTGAGCATCCTTCTAGAAGTGGGCAGCAACATGCGACGATTCCCTTTCCAGCTCGCCGTGTCCAACTCAGATCCACCTGTCCGTCCGTCGCTCGCCGTCGATTTTGAACGTCAACGGCCCACGAAAATTCCAATTCTTCTCCGACGCCGCCGCAGCATCTCTGACCCCTCCCCCCCCCCCCCCCCCCCGAAACGGCGAGATTAAACGGCAAAAAAGCTGCACACGACACGAACGCGACGAGCAAAGAGCAACTCCTCCGGCGAACCGAACCCTCCTCGGCTTCTTCGCCGAATCGCCCGCCCGCGCTTCTCTTCTCTCTCCTCTCCTCTCCTCTCCTCTCCTCGCGGCGGCGGCGGGATCAGATCGGGCGGCCCGCGATGTGGCGGCGGCGGGGGGCGCCGTCTGGGATAGGGCTCTGGGCCGCGCTCCTCGTCGCGGCGGCCGTGCTGGCGGCCGGTGGCGGGGCGGCGGCGGCGGCGGCCAAGGACGAGGCGTACGTGACGCTGCTGTACGGGGACGAGTTCGTCCTCGGCGTGCGGGTCCTCGGCAAGTCCATCCGCGACACGGACACCAGCCGCGACCTCGTGGTGCTCGTCTCCGACGGGGTGTCCGAGTACTCGCGGAAGCTGCTCGAGGTACGTCCGCTCCCGCGATGAGGATTCCCCAGTCCACGAATTCGGTCGATTTGTTATGGGCGTGCATGGATCGGCGGTTGTGTGTAAGGTTGGTGTAGGATTGGGGAATTCAGCAGGGGAAAATTAACTTGATCCATTTGCCCCGAGCTTATGTGGTGTAATCAAGTTTAGTGGGACGCGTATCTCTTATATCTAGTTCAGTTCTGATTTAATATTATGCAGAATTGGCTAACTGGAGAATGCTCATGAATGGAAATAAAGTTGAGAACAAGTTGGAGAGTTTGTTAGGAGGTGTTGTATATTGGAGTAGTATTGTTGGTTAGTGTATATTTAGCTAAGTTGCTTTAAATCTGAAAGGAGATCTTTCGATTTTTTTTTTAAAAAAAAGGTTGAAATGAGAGCTATTTAATGCTTTTAGATGCAACGATTCTTATTTGCATTTGCCAATCTCTGAACACAGCAAACTTAAGGAGCACCTTTGCTGTCCAATCTCTGAACACAGTAAGCTTAAGGAGCACCTTTGCTATCTTAAACACTTAATTTAGCACTCTCCTCAAATACTTTTCAAAACACCGTTTTCATCGCACTGTCCAAACTTGATGAAGATGATCTGGTTTATTCAGATCTATGAAGTCCCTTTTCAGTTTAATATCGATAAATTTATCATGTTAGTGATTAGTGGTTCCTGAAAAATCTGTACAGATATTATCTTAGATAATGCATTATTAATTTAATAGTTCACTTTGCCACTTTGGAAATTGCATGGTTTTTTTTAGGTCACATTAATTTCTCAATGGACACTAAGTATGCATGATCATTAATTTATGTCTCACACATGCCATTTCAATTAGGGTAAAATAATCTCACCATTCCCTATATATTATTATGATATTAGAAATTCTGTTGTGGTCTTATCTGCACTGTAATCTTTGATGGCAGGCTGACGGGTTTATAGTGAAGCATATAACATTGCTGGCTAATCCTAATCAGGTAAGGCCAACAAGGTTTTGGGGAGTTTACACGAAGTTAAAAATATTCAACATGACAAGCTACAAAAAAGGTATAGTTGGATGATGTGTTCTGCTTTCTATACATCATGGGCATTTTGTTTGTTTTGGTTTCATTTGAATTGCCTAATTGATCTAACTATTCTGGTATGTTTTACCCCCACTTTTTTTTCCGAGGTCAGTATTGTTCTCATATTCATTTTCTTTTGTTTTCCAGTTGCTTACCTCGATGCAGACACCATTGTTGTGAAAAGTATTGAGGATATTTTCAACTGTGGGAAGTTCTGTGCAAACCTGAAACATTCTGAAAGGATGAATTCTGGAGTAATGGTTGTAGAGCCATCTGAAACTCTTTTCAATGACATGATGGACAAAGTAAACAGTTTACCTTCTTACACAGGAGGTTAGTACAATTCGTTACTTAGCATGCTTGTTCTTTCTGGGGCTATATACTTATATGTTTTTCTTAACTGGGTTGAACTATTTGACAGCAAAATTTCATTATTAAATGGTCACTTTCTTAGAGGCTTTACCATACAATAAGAAACACTTTTTCCTATTGCCTTCAGTTAGTATGAACTGTTGATTCTGCATATGCACGGTTTGAGTTGTCTTTGTTTATTGTCCTATTTGTTCTATACCTGTAATCTATTGTTTATATTTTACATCTTATGGTTTTGGATATTTTCTTTCTTGCAGGAGATCAAGGTTTTCTCAATTCATACTATGCTGATTTCGCTAATTCTCGTGTTTATGAACCCAATAAACCTACAACGCCTGAACCTGAGACTCAGCGCCTTTCCACCTTGTATAATGCTGATGTTGGTCTTTACATGCTGGCCAATAAGGTTATACTCAATGCATTCACACATCGGTCATGTCATCCTGCTCTTTAAATTTTGGTGGTTTTGTTGCTTTATATGGTTAATTTATTATAAGAAATATCACCATATAACAAGGATCACTGTATACTCAAATTAATTACTTTGATTGTTATCTTATCATGGTAATAAGGAGAGTATTCTGAAGGACCAATAAAACTTTATTCAAATGTTTTAATGCATTATAAAGTTTTCATTCATTGAAGCATAATTTTTTAAAAATCCTTTAACCATTCTTGACAAGCGGGATTTTTTTCCTCCATTACACAGTGTTTTGTCCCTTCTTGCAAGGAATGCTGGACCAACTTGCTGCTCAAATCTGACTTCTTTTCTTGTCTAAAACAACTGTTCCTCTCTTCACATAGGATAGATGGCGCTGGTGTTATCTGTTCAACTCAGCTGAACTTAAAACTAGTTCACCCTAACACAACCCCTCCCCCAACCCCCGGCACGCACACAAAAAAGCAGAAGAATCCTGTTTTTGTCTTTTGCAAAATTAAAATAGTATACAAGTCCATATAGAACTGGCTTGCTGTTTTTTCCCCCATTTTTGCAAATAATATCAAACAGTGGTTTTTCATGAAGAACAAGATGAGGAACGATCACAAACTTTTTGACTCATGACACAATGTAGCTCAGTATAATTGGCAGCATCTCATTTATGATTTTCCTAATCCTGGTCCTTTTCTCGATATTTGTATACTTGTGGAAACCAACCAGCTGATGTTTTTTTTTCTTTGTAATGTAAGTTTTAGATAGCCTTGTCTTATTTAGTTATTTTCGTAGGAGAGCTTTGATTATATTGCACAAATGTTGCATTAGAGGTTTCAAACTGTGTTAAGCACAGACATTTGATTCTCAGAAAAGATTCAATACCATCAGCTAACACACTATCACAACATTTCAGATTTAGAACGTTTTAACACCTTATGATATCTCATCATATATAATCCACAGCCTGCTGATTATTTGTAAACGTCGCCTTCCTAACTTTGCTGCAGTGGATGGTTGATGAGAAAGAACTTAGGGTCATTCACTACACACTTGGGCCTCTTAAGCCCTGGGACTGGTGGACTGCTTGGCTTGTTAAACCTGTGGCAGTATGGCAGGTAATTAGGTATTTCTTGTGTGATTTTAGTGGGATGTGAAGTAGCAGAATGGCTCAATGAACTTGTGTTATCCATTGTTGCAGGATATCAGGAAAAATCTTGAGGAATCTCTCCCTGGAACTGGTGGAGGGAGAAATCCTCATGATCAATCAGTGGTCAAAATTCTTTTCTCTCTCCCTTTATTCATGCTGATCTGTGGTTATTATGGTTCATGCTTTCAGGTTAAATTCTCCTCTTGCTGGAAATATTTTTCTTTAATTTCATGGACATGTGGCCTAAATGGTCTGTCTATCTTATGTACTATACAGACTAATAAGGAGCTGCTGTGTATAAGATCTCTGTGTGCTTTTGCTCGACGTGCTCGCTACAAATACAAATCAGAGGAAGCGCTTCCTTCTTATTCAACAATTGGAGCTGCTTCATCGTCCTTTGGTATATCACATCAAAAGGTTGATTACACTTAAAAGTTTAAACTATGAATTGTGAATCTTTATTATATGTATGTAAGATCCACTGTGTACATCATTGCCTTCAGAAAATTTTCAGTAATTTCCTGCCAATTTGAAGTAGATCTTTGTTACACTCTCTGTCCAATTCATAGGCGTATTTTAATTTGGCATAGTGGTCAAACTTAGACTTTGACAATTAATTTTCTCTTACAATATATTGCAGTGGTTACAAAAGCCAGTATCATATGATAGCACATTGAATCATTTGTATACATTAAGCATGCATATAATTTGACTAATTATTAGTTAAAACTTACAAAGTCTGGGCCTTCCAAATAGATGGACCCATGGACACCTTATAAAATTAAACGGAGGGAATAGTATCTAAGTTGCATATTAAGCACATTTGTGACATCAATAAGCCGGTAGAGTTTTTCCTGTTGGATAATGTTTTCTATTCAAAACCAGGATCGTTTTAGGTTCTAAAAACTTGCATAACTTTGACGAATGTTGGTAAAGGACCAGGCTTTGTTTTCTTCGAAAGAACTATCATGCAAAACCACATCTAGAGGGGAAATATTTATACTATTTTCACTTATCTAATTAATTTCCTGACCCTGATTCCACATATCATATATCATGTACCTTTTTCAGAAATTGAGTTTGCTTTCATGATAATAACTTGATGTTTGCTAACTCCCTTGCAGTCACATAATGGAGCACATCTGAAGCTGCCTTCTTATTTTGGTGCCATCACCGTACTAGTCTGCTTCATTTCTGCTTTAATATCTCTTGCCTTTGCCTTTATTATTATTCCACGGCAAGTGATGCCATGGACGGGTTTGCTGCTGATGTATGAGTGGACCTCTGTGACGTTCTTCTTGTTGTTCGGGAGCTACCTCCGTGTTGTATACAATTGGGGAAGTTCTAGTGCAAATCATGTCGGGCATAACAATTTAGATTCATCAGAAAATCATGCTGGTGCAGGTTTGTAAACTTACACAACTTCCTGCAAATTTGTATTTCTTGCTTAGGCTAATGTGTAGTCCATTTCCAGGACTTCAGCGGAATACGTCGGACTGTGACACAGATGCAGCTTTCTATTGGTCAGGGATGGCTATACTATCTAGTATAGCATTATTATCACCAACAGTCCTGGGAATAACTGCTCTTTTTGCAAAGTAAGATAGGGGGTGGTTCATTGTCTACTTTTCTTCATTTTGAAGGAAACTGGCAAAATAATCTGTAGCTACTGTTCAGCTGGCTCCATTTTTAACTTCTCAAAACAGTGTGAACCTAACAAATTCTGTTGTGTTCTTTCCTTTGGCAGGCTTGGGTTGATGGTAGCAGGTGGCGTGGTGTTGGCATCGTTTATGACATACGCTTCGGAGCATCTAGCTATCTCGGCCTTTGTCAAAGGCCAAAGAGATAGGAACGCCTCGAGAGGTAGCATTTGTTTTATGTGCTAGTCATTCTTTGACCGCGGCAATTTCTTTCACCTTGTGTCCGAAATGTGCCTGTTGTAATTTGTATCATAATGTTGTAAAGGAAAATTTTGATGATTTATTTAGTAGAAAAGGTTGTCAGAGAAAAGAACTGTGATATGTTTAATACTAGAACACATTGCCACCTCTGGCTGCAGTTTTGGTGATTCTTGATTTGAAAGCTTGAGTACTATCGCTTAACCCTAACCATAATAATGTACCACTAGTATGACTGTTTCATTTGCTTCCATTTGCAAACAGGTCACTAAACTACGAGGGCGTATAATTTTGCCCCAATTCATTTTATCAAGTCACCTAAAAATGACGAAAGCAATTGAAGAATAGCCAGTTTGGTTGCTCACTTTGATCTTTAACATCTTGCTCTCCCTTCACGAGATTCCGTAAAGCCATTCTTGGTTCATCCAAAGAGCCATCAGTACCCTAGCAATTGGTTTTAGCTTGATTAGCACTACAACCGTTCTTAAACAGATGACATCATAAAGTAACTTTGAAATCTTGAATTCATTAATCTTTACCTATTATTAAAATTGAAGATTTCGTACTCACCTTATTTTTTGTCCGTCATCCGAGTTAAAACACGTATAATCCTGGATCGGACCAAAAAAACCATCACTGATGATACATTATGCAAAAATTAGGATACATGCATGTGTGTGGGGGATTCGAACTCTAGTCTCCTAGGGTACATGCTACATGTTGCGCTCATCTAGTCACCAGAGCAATATAGTTGTTTTGTTAGGAAACTTTTTCTCTATTTGGCTGGCTTGTAACTCATCAATCTCTCTATCCCCAATCTCGTTCATAGGTCCACATTCCATCGCTCTTGTGTTGTCTGAGCTTCTCATGTGTCATTGCGAATTCTCGCATGCTCATGAAGAGTCTAATTGGGGAAAATTTATGTCTTTTGGAAACGTAGTGGATTCCATACCCTATCAAGGTAGAATATGGCTCAAGCAGAGGGGGCTGTAGCAAGCGCTTTACTAGCATATGAAGGCAAAACGTCGTTCGAGTCCGACACGATAAAGCAATGTGTCATGCATGCATGATAACGCGATCCTCCAAGTCGGACTCGATAAAGCGTCATGCATGTACGAGAACACAGATGGGTGTGCTTGGGACACGTTTTTTTTCTCATCCACATCGCTTCCCCACACAGAACCACCATATTCAGTCAATCTATACTATTATAATTTGAGCCTGCTATGATCTAATAATCTAATAGTAAAAGTCACTATAATTGGAATAGGTAAATTATTTTTACCCGTTGCAACGCACATGCATTTTTGCTAGTATATAAAATTATTAGAATCTAATATAATGTGTGATAATGATATTAACATATTTTTATAGAAACACTTAATAATTTTTAACAATTATTATAAATATTATTTGAAGATAATAGTAGTAATAACGTTAAAGTAAAAAAAAAACAATGATGTAGCAATGTAGCAGCCAGCTCCTTAATTTGTTCTAACAAGCACCTGCACCAATTAACATAAGCGGATATGGATTTTTATCCGGATGTCTCATCGTTATTTACATGTCATCTAAATATTTATTAAAATAATTTGATAACATGGATTAATATGAAATATATCACTCCATAAACATGTAAGGTTAAATTTAACTTTTACAAGTTGCAATAAACAGAACAACTTAAATTGAAAATAGTTGTCGTACATTCATAGTTATATTTGTTATTTTTATTAAAACTTGTATAAGTTAAATTTTTACTTACATGTCTGTGACATGTATAAAATAATGGGATATCCCTCTAAGGGATGAAAACGCTTTCCCAACCCAAGCAGCTAGTCCGAGAGCAAGTTTGGCCACCACACCACTTGCAGATGCTTGTTAGCTTTAGGAAAAGCCAGCCGGCCGGCCGGCCAAGCCAAGCCAGCACCAATTAGGCTGCGCTAGGTGCAGTGCAGGTGGCACATCACATTTGTCGTCTCCCCTCGCGCGATCGAGATGCAACGGTGGTGGTGCCGTCGCGAGATCTCTCTTGATCCCCCGGGAACCCATCGTCGATTTGCCCGGCAGATGCCGCCATATTTACCGTCTAGTTTGCACTCGCCGCTGCATATGCGTCCCCCACCGCCCGACGAAGACGACCTTGTGCCCTGGCTGCCTGCGGTCCGGTCACTTTCGACGACTACTCGCGCGCGCCTCCTTTTATAAAGTACGGTGGCGAGGAGCTGAGGAGATGCTGCAACCTGCAAAAACTGTTCGTCCTGCCGTCAATAGAAGGAGAAGCGGTATCGGTTATCGGTAGGGATGCGCCTGCAAGGCTGCAGGGCGGTTTAAAAAATTTACTGCGGTTATGTTTTTTTTTTAACAACTCGCACAAGACGGTGCGATATTCTATTTACAACCCTGGAGTGTCATAACCAGGAAAAAGAAAAAATATACCACCACCCACACACCGGCAGCGCCAACACACACGACAGGAGAAGGTTAGCACCGGACCGGCCACCGCTAAGCGTGATCGGCCGCCGCTAGACCAACAAAGGAGCACAGACAAGATCGCCACAGCAAGGGGGTGCCAAAACGACGTCTTCAAGAAGAGAAGCGACGAAAAACCGCCGCCGCCGTCCGTCAGGGCTCAAAGGAGCCAAGACTGGGTTTTCGCCCGGCAACCACCCTTGAGGGGTGAGACAGCACGACAACGCCCTCAGGAGGGGGAATTAACCATCGTTGTCAGTCCGGCCAAGGCCGAGCTAAGTTTTCACCCGCCGCTCCCACCTGCGAATCCACGGCTGACGCACCGATGCTCCACCACCACTCAAACTCTGCCGACATGTGGGGCCCCTACACCGACGCCCCCCGCCGGCCAGCCTTCGCGCGCCGAAGACCGCGCCACACCCACCGGCAGCTCCACCACGCACCGAGGTCGCCTCTTCCACCGCCGGCCACACCTCTCGCGCCAAGCCAGCCTCCTCCACCGGACGCGCCTCTTGCGCCAATCCGGCCTCCCTCCATCGGCTGCGCCTCTCGCGCCAAGCCGGCCTCCATCTCCGCCGCCCGCACCTCTCGCGCCGAGCCTCCGCTGCCATCGGTTGCGCCACTCTGCGACAAGCCGTTCTCCGACCCCTCCTCCAAACGATGCTGCGCCGGTCCGATGTAGCTGTCTGCCACGCCCTCGGCAAGCCGTCCGAGGCCGCCATGCCTCCTCCCACCACCGTCACGGTCACCATCACCTCACTGTCGCCGCCGTCACCTCACACCCGACTCCTTCCCCGCCTCCACTGCTGACGTCGCCGCCGCCTCCTCAGTCACGGCCGTCGCAAGCCAGCCGCCGTCGCCGCTGCCGCTGTCACCAGCCACCGACGCCAGCAGCCACCATCGCAAAACCGTCGCCACCTCCAATGCAGCCGCCCTAACATCGTCGCCATGCAGGGGGAGGGGGCAAATCGGCCTGCAGCACGCCAGATCCGCCCCCCGGGGGGCCAAAACGGCCTGCAGCGCCTGATCCGGCCGCCGTCGCCAGCCTCGCCGCCAGAGCCACCCGCCGTCGTCAGCCTCGCCGCCACCTCCATCCCCGCCGCCATCTCCATCCCCGCCGCCGGCGCCCCCTCACCATCCCCGACGCCATCATTGCCCCCGCCGCCGTCGTCGCCTTCCCCGTCGCCAGCCACCACCAACTGCCACCGCCACCTCGCCATCTTCAATCCCCGCCGCCACCACCACCAACTGTCGCCGCCACCTCAGGCCGACCCTCCGCCGGCGGCCTCCCCGCTAGATCCGGCCGCGGTGGCCCGGATCTGGGCGGTGTCACACCCTAATCCGGCACCGCCGTACAACGGCACCTGATAGGAGCGTGTCATAGGAAAAACGGTGCGAAACGCTTCCTACTAAACCGCGATCTCAGTACCAGTCCCAGGACATAGCGCTGGTACCCACGGTGACAAATATAATCATTGCAATCCTTAAAATAAATAGAGGACTTATTTACCTTAACTTAGGTTGCAGCTCAGGATAGCCCGAGATTACAACCGACGACACGGACGAGGCAACACCAACAACCGGCAGCAGCAGCGGAAACAATGGACTAACACCCAACACCACAGGCGACGGCTGGGAACTAGGACGAAACCCAAATCTTTGCTTCAACTTCATCTTCAGAGCTGGCAGAACTATATATATATATATATATATATATATATATATATATATATATATATATATATATATATATATATATATATATATAGAGCAAGGGTGAGTATTTACGTACTCAGCAAGCCAGGGGAACTTAGGTGGTTAATGCAAGCTTCAAGGGAAGGCTGTTATTTTTCAATCAGTTTTATTTGCAAGCATTTTGACAATCTAAGTGTGTTCATTCCGCGACCAGAGCGAGACAAGTCTCAGCTCGGCCGAGGGTGAGGAGTGAACAATATTATTTTATCAAGATTTGCACAACTCCCGGAGTTGGCCTCAAAGCTGGTTTCCCAAACCAAACCAATTTTCCAGACTTTCAAAGTTTTGGTTGTCTCCAAACAACCAGTCACTTTTAGGGACTCCCTGTCCCGCTGTCTCCCTGACAGCCACTTGCCTTTCCAAACATCAGGTTTCCCAAACCACATCACTTTTTCATAAAACAGGGTAAAACAAAAACTACGCTAAGGAATCACCTCACATCCACCCATGACCGTGGGCACGGCTGTTCGAACAGTTTGTTAACCTCTGCAGAGGGGGTAGACTTTACCCACACGACATTACTAACCCGGATCACCCAGCCCGTGGGGATCAGCCACGTCGGGAGACCTCCAAGCTTTCATGACAAGGCATTTCCAAAGCCGACACAGGTTTACCATATGCCGACGAGAGGGGTCCAAGATCAACAACAGGTTAGGTCCCAAACCATACTGTACCAGGAAGCCCAGGGGTCCCTCCCCGACACTACCCCGGCGAATCCACTTGTCTCTCGGCATCAAGGCTCCCCTGATTAGCTAATTACTCAGCCAGGGGTGTCCCATTCCACCCGTGTGGTCGCACTATTGTATGCTCGGATGTAATTGCAAAGGAATCGGTCCTTAGATGCGACCGCACAAGCATCCCGCCCAGGAATGGTCTTGTGTCGCGAGTTTTATTTTTTTAAAACTCATTTTCTTTCACAAGGCACCGACCCAGGCGTCGGGTTTTCCAATCCTTTTGTAAACCAAGTTTTACCCAAGATG